AGTAACTTAAATAAAAGTAAAATAAAGTAAAGTGATATAGTAATAAATATGGATATTTCGCCCACCACAGTCGGAAAAATAAATCTATACCTCCGATACCAACTCTCGATTAAATGATCTATCATCCATATTAATAGATTAATGGATCGTGGCCGAAATTTATTTAAGGAAAGCTCTTTGGAAATCCTCTAGAATTTTGCAAAGAATGCGAGACCCAAGCGCAACCTTATTATTTCTGTCCAACCAGATTTTCCATCATATAAGCTCTGTCAGCGGAAGCCTTCTACTTGATTTATGTACCCATTGTTCCAGGGCTACAAATCCGCATAGATAAACGTGGTCCGGGTGTGTATTCAAGCAATTTATGAAATCCCGCCCCGGGGCCTGTAATTCAGACCCAGCCACAAGCCATTCAATGTCCAGCGGGATTAGAGACAAATTAAAATTGTAATATTTTATTTATGTGCGTTGCGGCTGGCGCTGCTTACGACAGCAGGAATAACCACCTCGAAGCGAAGCTGGAATTGCGGCACGTTGTCCTTTTTGGTCCTTGGCTTGGCCTTGGGTATTACGGGTTAATTTGTGTGTTTATTGCAGTTGGCCAAGTTTTTTGGTGCTGGGCTTTTGGACCATCTTTGGGGAGGGCCACAGACACTTGAACGTATTTACACGGGATATGCCAACAACAAGTGGAAGGAAAGCAGCAACACCAACAACAGTAATAACAACAACACAAACACCAAGAACACCACCAACAACAAGAGTAACAACAACAATAAAAGAAGCTGAAACAGAGATGGCAAATGGCAAATGCCGAACGGCAAAACGAAATATTGTAGACTATTTAAAAAATTTATGTGCGGATGTTTTGCCGTCGGGATATTTCCGGTTTATGATGATTATGTTTTGTGTGCGCTTCCTCTGCTTCTCGCTCCCACCCATCGCCCATCGCTTTTATTTTCGTTTATTTTTAACAAGCGGATTACTTGGCGCCACCCCTCCGGTTTACTCCCCCCAGTTTTCCCATCCGACTCGACTCACTCCTTCAGCGAATTTTCCTTTTGGCTCTTTGTTTGCCCTGCTCCATTCCGCTCCATCCCGTCAACTTCCATCCCATTCATCGTGCATAATAATAAACATAATTTGGTTTATTCTTTATTTTTTGTTCACTTTCTTCTTTTTTATGTATATTTATTCATTTGCCTAGCCAGTAAATTGTTGCGTGTGCATTTTAATTATTGTTTTGCAACTGTTTTTTATGTTTATTGGTTACTTTCAGCTCGGTTTTTTCTTCCCTTTGCTTGATTTGCACCATAAAAGTCCTTTAGACATTTCAGAGTTCGGTTTTTCTACCACATATTCCAAGTAATTTATGTCTTTCATTGGCAGTAAGTGGGTATTTAAAGGACATGCCGAAATTGCAATACTTACAATTTACAAAAAATATATATTGGGAGGTTTTCATTTATCATGTTGAATATCTAATGAGGCGATGTTTTAAGTAATATTAAATTATAAATAGAGTAAAAGATAAATATAAAACTTGTATAATTGATCTTTGTAATTTTCCGTAAAATAATTTTTGCTTTTTGAATTCTTAAATCTAGTGTCTTTAAATTTAAATTAGAAAAATAATGTCTTCAATATCCTTTTTATTATAAAATATTTATTAATGATGTATGTAATGTAATGATGTTTATGTAATGATGTATATATGTATAACTCAAGAGACTTAATATATGTATGTGCATATCTAGAAAGTTAATAATCAATATAAAGATGAAGATATATTCTGACTCTTAAAAAATCCTTGGTATTTACATTTAAATAAATTCTTAACTTTCATTAAAAACCCTTTTCCCCTTCTTAAAGGCCTGACAACGACAAATTACATGTCGCGCCAATGGGAAAAAAAATATTTGAAGCAAGTGGAAATTAATTTGCCTGCAACCACACCAAAAACAAAAAAAAGGGGGAACAAGAAGCCGGAGAGTAGCAAAGCGAGATACCAATAACAAGAGCTGAAACACAAAAGCCAACACAGATGTGAGCGGGTTCGCAGGGAGTTGGGAATTATTTTTATTTCTTTATACAAAAGGCGACATCGTCGTCTGGCTTTTATTACGCCCGGTCATTCGCTGTTGGCGGTGACGGTGGTGGTGATGGTGATGGTAGTCCTGGTGGTGGTGGCATTTGGCTGTGGTGTAGGGCTTGGTCAATGGCCAGCAGCCACAAAAAGTAATCTCTGAGCATAAACGCATATCCTGGGCTGCAATTATGCCAAATGTTGAGCATAATGCCACCGCAATTTTCATTACCGCACACGTCATGTGTGTGTGTGTATGTGTGTGTGTCCTTGGGTGTGTGTGTGTCCACCGCACCGAAAAATAAATGCTAAATTTTGATACACATTTCGTTGGCGGTGTTAAGCTCTGAAATGCTTATTAGGCCAGTCCGGCAAACAGCAAAAACAACTGGGGAGTTCAGCTCCGTTCAGTTCAGCGAACGAAAAGCCAAAAAAAAAACAATAACTGGGCCTTAACCCAACAATGACTGAGCCACCGCCGCTGCTGCTGCTGCTGCATGTACGCCTCATAAAAGTCTAATTAATTAAAATCGTGCCCGAGCAGCCAGCGGCAATCCCAGAGCCAATGTGCCAGCCTCAGCGGCAACCTCGGCGTCAACGCTGCGTATGCGTAATGCGCTCAGGGACTTTGGCCAGGATGGCTGGCTGACTGGTTGGCAGGCGCTAATTAAAAGCTTGCCGCATAACTTTTCTAACCAAAAAGAATGTATAAGACTCATAGGAAAATGAAAATTACAGGCCTTATCGATGCCACGAATCGGATATGCTCTGTAATTGAATTTTGTGGCAAGATAACATATGTGGTGGTGACATCAGCTGGGCACTGAAATAGGTCTAAATAGGAGTTTTTTGTACAAAATTTACAAAAATGTATTAAAAATTTCTTTAATATGGAGAATTATAATTTTAGGTTTACAGAATTAAGTACATTTAAAAGCTAAAGCAATTAAATGTTTGAAATCTTTTTAATAGATTTCTTCTTTCTTCTTTTTAAGTATTGTTTTTTTATTATTTACTTATGAGTAAGTTTAGAAGAAATAAATCATTTATAAAATATACGTGCTGCTTCTCAACGTAGCTTATGCTCTCTACACAATAGAAGTGTAGTACAACTAAGACTTCTGACGTTCTTTCAGCTCGAAGAAAGGAAGAAGACCAGCAGCTCACGTGTTATAAAGTTAATCAGCCCTGGAAATGTTAGTTCCTGCCCCTACATTAGTGCCTGTTCTCTCCGCACCAGCATCCATCCACCCGCCAACCCCCCGAGAGACTTGGTCGTCGCAGTGATGAAAATCACTTTTAATAAACTTCTTTCCTACTATTGATGATTTTTATTGCGTGAGGTTTTCACGAGCTCAGTGCGGGATGTTAATTAGATTTTATTATGCGTGTGTCTGTGGGCGTTTGTCCTTTGTGCGCTTATGTCGGGGGCCAGATAATGCCAGCGGGGATTATGGCTTATTAAAAGGCTTATGAAAGTCAAAAGAAAAGTTTACTTAATTTCAGTTAGTTAAGCGCCAATGAAAGCCGCCCACTTGAGTATTGGCCAAGAGAAGCAGCGGCAGCAACAGCAGCAGCAGAGCCAGCGAAGTTCCCTTGGCGTCTTTGCCAAATGGCCAATAAAACCTGCTCTGTGTTGGGTCAACTCTCCCCCAGCCGCGGTGGGGCTTTGGCAATTTTACAAGAATTTTTGGATTAGACTTTGGCGGCAGTTTATGGCCGGCACATAAATTCAAATGTTGCATACATTAAATCAAATAAAAATCTGCAATAAACATGAAATTGACAACACGTTGAGTGCAATTTGGTTTCAGCTAGCATCTAACTTATTAGCCACATTTTTTGGGGCCCATATTTTATATACAATGTATAAGGGAACGAAAATAAATTTGATGAGTTGAAAATACAGTTGGCCTATTGTCCAATAGATATGGTTGATAAGATGTTAAGTCTAACACTACGTTACAAAGTCATATTTCTTACTTCATTGAATGAAACGTTTACAATTTATTTGTAAATCAATTTAAAAGATTTAAATTGGAATTGATTAGTACATCAATTTACATGTAAACTTGACCTTCCTACGGAAATGCCTTTATGCGTTTATTTTTTAACAAAGAAGGCAAACCAAACACTGATAGGAACAACCTCTAATTAACGTATCTTATCGGTGAACTCACACCAAATGCGTTATCAAACCGCTTGTTATTATTTTTTCCCAGTGATTATTCATGCCCTTTTTACGGACTGATCCCTGTAGTTGGGTCTATTTTAATGCGCAGAGCGTTTGTTACCTTGGCTATCGATGGACCGTTACACTCCACTGGTTTCAAGGGGAAGCTCTCTACGCTTTTAGGCACAGCCTTGGGTTCCAGAATCTCCACTTCGACCACAGACATCTTCTGGTTCACGTTCCTGGGGTATTTTACCCAGCAATTGTGAGCGCAATTGTGCGCACTTTTTTCATCGGCTTGTCCTGCGCATTTTAATGTCCTTTTTTTTTTTTTTTTTTTCAATTCCCCTTTTCATTTTGGTTTTTTCTTTTTTTATGTTTGCAGAAAAAGAGTTGAAAACATGCTGGGCACGTGCTGATTGATGTAAAATGCGTAATGAGCGCGGTTATGTTTATGGGAAAAAAAAGGAAAGAAAAATAAAGAAAGAAGTGAAAGGAAAAGGGTTCGGATAGATAACGACTGGTGAAGTTTTCTAATTAGAATATACAGGATGCTCAAAGAAGCGGCCTATCTACCATTAATTTTCTTTTTTTTTTTTAGTTAATATTTGTATTTATTTGCTCGTGAAATGAAATCAATAGATTTAAGGAATTTACGAGCTAATTATAGACGATTAATATTTTTTAATTGCTGAAAGAGATAATAAATTATAAAAACTTTTACATTTGTCGAAAAGATTTAGTGAAAAATAATTTCTTTCGCATTCTGTTGCTATTCCACCGACTGATAAGATATTGCACTATCAGGACTGATACAAACATTTACAATTCACGCGGTTTTGGACGCTGCTTATCAAGTTATAGCATTCAGCTTAAGCAATCGCAAGGTTATAAACATTTAGTTTGTTTTTTTTTTTTCAAGTTTTGTAGTGTAAGTATTTGCGAAAAGTTGAGTTAAAAATTACTACAATAATGGTTAATAATAATTAAGATGGTTAATAAAAATACAGAGATCTCTTCTTATTTAAAGTTTTTCAATTAAAATATATTTTTTATATAATTAACATGATTTATAACAATAAACGTAAACTGATAAACAAATTTCTAACTCGTAACCCTTTTTAAAACAAAAGGATGCTTTATTTTATATTTACAACGTTGTTATTTGAAGTTGTTTTGCAAATAGAGAGCGCATTGATAAATTTATATACATTTTTCTAACGTATACTTGCTCTTAAATGAAATATCTTTGTGGCTACCTTACCATGGGTACATTGAACCGATACTCAAGGTTCCGCGTTGCCAACGAAACCAGTTTCCAGCCGAGAAAAATCACAATCATGGCACTCAGTCCGATCCTGCCGAAGAGAACCGAAACCACGTCCACATTGTAGTACTGCACCAGAGACATCTCCTGCTCGGCGATTCGCATGTGGTCTGCTCCCTTGTGCCGCAGGACATACTCCGTCCACCAGAGAGCAGTCTCTATGGGCGTCATGGGCTGGTCGTGGAATCTGGCGGACAACTCGAGGGCCCTCTGCTTGTAGCTGGGCTTTTGGGTCAGGTCCTCGATGGCCTCCACCACCATCTCCGGCATAAGACCCGTGATGTCCAGGCTCCGGGCCACTCCTATCTTCTCCATGCGATCACTGTTCTGGAACTGATCAAAGAAGATCGGTAGACACAATAGAGGCACGGCGTAGTGGGTGGACTCTATGGTGCTCAGGAGACCGGCATGGGTGATAAAAAGCTTGACATTGGGATGCTTGAGAATCGCACGCTGCGGCAGAAGTCCTCTGGCATACACATTCGTCGATTTATTGGCCATTGTTGGGTCATTACTTTTCCAAACCACGCGTTGCTTCAGTTGCTTAAAAGCAGCCAACATTGTGGCCAACATTTTTGGGGGCAGCCACTTGTCCAACATCTGCAGACCCATGGAGAAATAGATAACGCCGTGCTCCGCTTCATCCAGAAATTGTTTGAGTTCAGCTCCCAGGGGTTCAGGGGGCTCATGCAAGTGCATGCCTGCCACCTCTACGAGATTGGGAACATTGCTCCGCACCCTGCCCATGCTAAAGTGCTGATTGATCAGAATCAGCGAGAATCTCCGGCGGAGATCGTGAAGACTGACTGGCGCATTGGGGAAATTCTGTTTGTACAGATCAATTTGACGGGGCAGGTAGATGAAGCGCTCCACCAGTCGCTCCTCCGTGATGAAGATCAGGTTGTGCCACTTCTCCAGCAGACTGAGACCTGGAGAGTAGCCCAGGGCGGACATTGGCTCGTAGACACTCGGAGCCGAGTTACCCACCAGGAAGTCAATGTTCCATGCTGATCCGTAGGCAGCGATGCCCACCAGAGGAGCGTTAAAGACCTGCGAGAATCCGTAGAGAGCATCCGTGTGCGATGCCTCCAGAATGATCATAGAGTACTGGGCACTAGTATTCCGGAGCAGCGCCTTCACACCGGGATCCTCGAGCACGAACCTTGAACAGTTGTAGAAATAATCGGACACAAACTGAGCCTCCATCCACTTGCTTTGCTCGATGTCGTAGTCAAACTCCAAGAGTACTGTGAACGGATTTTAATCGCAGACATTTTATCAATTATTTGGGTTTAAAAAATAACAGAGCCATAAATAGCTTTAAAAGTCACATTAAACAAGAACTCTGACCTAGTTTAATAAAATTCAAATTGAACATTAATCTTCTCAAAGAATATATTGCATTACCGATTAAATTAGTTTTCCAGTATAAAATTAAACATAATGAGTGGCTATTCGTATACAATTTGTTATTGTTTTGCAACTCATAGTCCATTTCATGTATAGTAATCCATAAAATAATCTCGATTTGATAACACTAATTTCGTTAGAGTTAATTTTAGGTGAGGTTCATTACTTTTCATAAGCATATCCAATTTGGCGACGCGAATGTGATGCACTCCCTCGATTTCGGGCATTTCGGTGGTGGCCGATATCAGGGTCAGCTGGTGACCCCGCTGCACGATGCTCTTCAGATATGGTGTGATTAATAGGTAAGACGACCCGAAGGTATACGAAAATATGGCCAAAATGTTCTCAGTTCTGGCCAATTGAGGGCACAACAGGCCACAGAGCAGAGCCGGGAGCAGAAGACCAGCGATGCCCGGGCCCCTCGTCATCTCACACAAATCGACCGCACATGCCGCCGCCCGAACTGATACTGCCTTGGTCAGGGTCGGCCGGAGTACTCGGCCAGACATGCTCGAGGGGGCAATCTAATCAGCGGGCGCAAAGAGCGAAAAGGCAAAAGAGTTCCAATCGTTGGCTCTTCAGTTAGTCAGTCGGACAACTGGCGCTCGATCGATATGTTCGCCCTGGGGCGATGGCTTCTCCCGCTGCTATGTCTGATCGGATGTACTAACGCCGCCCGAATCCTGGTCATCGCCCCCTTTGAGTCCCATTCGCAGTGCCTCCTGATGACACCCTACATAAGGGCCCTCGCCGCTAGGGGTCACCAGCTGACCGTGATCCACGCTTTCCAGCAATGCCAATCCGTCGGCAATGTGAAGTACATACGCATAACGGATAACAATAACGTATATTCAGGTATGTGAAGGGAGTGACACACGCGGAAAATTCAGACATTTGAAAATACAACTTTGGGTGCAAGATAACGCCTCGTCGGCACGTAAAGTGATAAGATCGAATAAAAATTTAGAGTATAATGATTAAGGGTTTCAGCCTGATGCAAGTCGAAACCCATGTTTCTTAGGTTCTATCTATCCAATAAATACTCCCTTTAATATTTAACTTAAGAAAAAATATTCTAGAAGCAAATCAATTTTATTATATTTTCTTAAAACCTTTGCACAAACCTATTTTTTATAGTATAAATATAAATATATACCTATATATTTTTTTATATTTTTCCAGAATTCGAAGAGTTTCTGATACAATCTTTAACGGCAAACAAGTGGGGAGAAATGATTTCCATGACGAGAATTATGATTAACGCATCGCTGAATGTGCTCAATAACTTTGAGGTTCGGCAGTTGGTCCAATCGAATACCACCTTCGACTTGGTAGTTGTGGAGCCCTCATTCTCCGATGTGCTCTTCGGCTTGGCAGCCCAATTCAAAGCCCCACTGATGGGTCTGTCAACGTGCGGAGCGGACTGGTACCTGAACACCTTGGTGGGGCTTGAGTCATCCATGATTCTGGAACCGCTTATGCCTATGGGGGCGAGACCTGTGAAGCATCTGTGGGACCGCATGTACAATTGGTACTACACCACCGAGGAATGGCTGCTGGTACAACTAGTATTCCTTCCCAAACTGCGAATGGTTCATGATCACTTCTTTGGGCACTTGGAACAGACCTTCTCGGAGATCCGTAACAGCTTCTCTCTGATTCTACTCAATCAACACTTTAGCCTGTTTCGGGCCAGGTCGAGTGTGCCGGGAATGGTAGAAGTGGCCGGCTTTCACATCCCCAAAGAGGACCCAAAGTTGCCCAAGGATCTGCAGCAGTTCATCGACGAAGCGGAGCATGGTGTAATCTTCTTTGCATTGGGTGTGGAGTTGCAGAGCAAGGATTTGCCGGTGGAAACGCAGAAAATGTTTCTGGAGACGTTTAAGCTGATGCCGCAGCGCGTAATCTGGAAATTTGAAGGTGAGCCACCGTGTGCGGTAAGCGATAATGTCTATCTGGCAAAGCTGTTGCCCCAACAGGCCATCCTGGCCCATCCGAACGTGAAGCTCTTCATTAGCCACGGCGGAATGCTGAGCATCATCGAGGCCGCTTACTATGGAAAGCCGGTGCTGGGCATGCCTATTTTCTTCGATCAATTCCGAAACCTACGTGTGCTCGTGGAAGACGGGGCTGCCCTCCAGTTAAGCATCAACAGCGTGGCTGGGGAGGAGTTCAAGGAGGCTATGGATCGTCTGGTAAACGAGCCGAGTTACCGAGAAAATGCAATGGCCTTATTGAAAAGATTCAGAGATCAGCCCATGCATCCCCTGGATGTGGCCATTTACTGGACGGAGTACATCGTGCGTTACAGGGGAGCAAGTCATATGAGAGTGTATCCTGCCTACATAAAGCTGGTCGACTACTATTCCGTGGACAAATTCCTGATGGTGGGAATCCGCTTGACCTTGGTGGTGGTCATCGTGTTTTTTACGCTTTCCAAGTGGAGGTGCCTCCTCGCCCATTTGGCCCGACTGGCGGAGCGGGTTTGGCCCATCCACATGGTGATGAGTTGCGTTATTAGAATATATAAGTACTTTAGTTTAAAGTTAAACTTTTAAATAGGTTTATTTACATTGAGGCAAGAGCAGGTTTCATAATAATTGCGCAATAATTCAGCAGTTGTAAGTATTAGAGGTTAACAATCTGCAATGTTATTTGGTATGAAATTGATTATTTTTAAATTTATGCAAGCAGAGTATTAATTCTATGTTTTTGGGGATATAATGCTGAATAATACTTAACAATCAGTGGTATTCCAACCGCTCACCATCTGCGTAGTTAGAGTAAAAATTCATATATTTGAGTGCTTTCAATTGGATTGTAATAACTTTTATTAAGAGCTGTCCAAACTTTATCTAATCTTAATTATCCCCTTTTTTATGATAGTTAAAAGTGTTTCCAGGTTTATTTTTGGAATCGAATAAGTGCTTTTGTCTAGGCGCCGTCGGCTAATATTTTTCCCATTGTATTAAATTGTTGAGGAAACTTAAGGACGATATATGATATACAATAAAATTTATAAAAGCGTATTTCTTTTATTTTTAATTTATTTTTTAGTACCTTACTTAATTCAAAATGCTGGTCTGATACAGATGCAGACTATCTAATCAGCGAAACCAAAACACTAAAGAGTTCCAATCGCTGGCTCTTCAAACAATCAGTTAGTCAGTCGAAAAACTGGCGTTGGAACGATATGTTCGCCCTGGGGCGATGTCTTCTGCCGCTGCTCTGGCTGACCAGCGCCGCACATGGCGCCCGGGTACTAGTCATTTCCCCCTTCGAGTCCTATTCGCAGTGCCTCCTGATTACGCCCTACGTTCAGGCCCTTGTCGATCGAGGTCATGAGTTGACGGTGATCCATGCCTTCCAGCACTGTCAGCCCATTGGCAATGTCACGTATATACGCATTTTTGATAATATGAACGTTTGCTCAGGTATGTGAAGTAAAATAGTATATTTCTATGCTGACTTCGTCTATTATAACTATGGAAACATTAAATTATTAAAGATAAGATATAAAGATAACACAGCCTCCTTATATTAATTTATAATGGAAGAACAGTAGAAACTCGTTTGACAGAGACAACTTCATCCTAATTTGTAATGTTTTTTTTTTATTTCAGAATTCGCAGAATTAACTATAATAACCAGATCGATAAGCAAGTGGGAAGAATGTACTTCTCTGACGAGGCTCATGATTAACGCAGCGCTGAATGTGCTGAATAACATGGAAGTTCGGAAGTTGATCCAATCGAATACCACCTTCGACTTGCTAATTGTGGAACCGACATATACCGATGTGTTATTTGGCTTGGCAACTCAGTTTAACGCCCAGCTGATCGGGCTGTCCACCTGCGGAGCGGACTGGAATCTAAACAGTCTAGTGGGACACGGGGCGTCCATGGCCCTCGAGCCGCTGATGCCCTTGGGAGAGACATCCGCAACAAGCTTTTGGGATCGCCTGTACAATTGGTACTACACCACCGAGGAGTGGCTGCTGATGGAACTGGTGTTTCTTCCGAAACTGAAAGTAGTCCACGACCACTTTTTCGGGCACTTGGGAAAAAGTTTCTCGGAGATACGGCACAGCTTTTCGCTGATTCTACTCAATCAACACTTTAGCCTGTTTCGGGCCAGGTCGAGTGTTCCGGGCATGGTAGAAGTGGCTGGTTTGCATATCCCCAAAGAGGTCCCAAAGTTACCCTTGGATCTGCAGCAGTTTATCAATGGAGCCGAGCATGGTGTGATCTATTTCGCCTTGGGTGTGGAGCTGCCGGCCACGGCTTTAACAGAGGAAAGGCGGAGAATGCTGCTGGAGAGCTTGGAACTAATGCCGCAGCGCGTGATCTGGAAATTTGAAGGTGAGCCACCGTGTGCGGTAGCTGATAACATCTACCTAGCGAAACTGTTGCCCCAGCAGGCCATCCTGGCCCACCCGAACGTGAAGCTCTTCATTAGTCACGGCGGAATGCTGAGCATCATCGAGGCCGCTTACTATGGAAAGCCGGTGCTGGGCATGCCTCTGTTCTTCGATCAATTTCGAAACTTGGATGTCTTGCTGGAGGAGGGCGCCGCTTTGCAGGTAAACATCGACAGTGTGACTGGTAAGGAGCTCAAGGAGGCTGTAAATCGTTTGATTAGCGACCCAGGCTTTCAAGAAAATTCGCTGGCCATATCCGAAAGATTTCGGGATCAACTCAATCATCCCCTGGATGTGGCCGTTTACTGGACAGAGTACGTGCTGCGACACAGGGGAGCACATCATTTGAAGGTCTCTCCGTCCCACGTAAAGCTGGTCGAATATTATTCTTTAGACAAGTTTCTGATGGTAGGAATACGATTGACCCTGGTGGTGGCCATAATTTTTTTTATACTTTTCAAGTGGAAGTGTCTCCTTAGCTATTTAGTCAGACTGGCGGAGCGGTTTTGGCCAATCTACATGTTGATAAGTTTCATAGTTAAAATATATAGGTACTTTAGTTTATTATTTGTGAAGTAACAAAAGGTTTATATATAATTGTAATGATTATTTGCAATGGTATGTGGTAAGAAAGTAAAGCATTTGAATATATTTAAAAATATGTTGTAGTTTTGCTGTAGAATAAACATTACTGGTATCCCAGCGCGGGCTTATATTAAGCTTAAATGTATTTGAATGATTTTATTGAATTTGATTTCTAAAACTGTTATTGAGGTACATTTCAGTAGGGACAATGAATGCCGAGATCATTGGAAGTTATATCTTATCTAAATGATTCCCTCTACCTATGGTTGTTTAAAGTGTTTCCCAGTTTACTATTAAAAATTATATTCTTCCGAAATGTTTAAATATATATAGATCTCGTTCAAATAATGTGCTTAATTTCGATTCTATATTTCTACAAATTATTGTTACCATTATCAACAAATAAAGTTAAAGTTCGAAATGATTATTTTTCGAACCAAGATTAAGCTTGAAACTGATATGATCAACAACTCATTAAGGGTAGGGTATACACTCATCAGTTCTCTGAGTACAAAAACAACGTTCAATAAAAATGTTCTAGTAAACAAAAACAAATGCGAAACACTGAAAAGAGAGAGAGATAAGTACAGAGAAACGTAGAGTTTAATTTTGTGACTTAGTTGTAAAGAGAAACGTAAAGTCTGAGAGAGAGTGCGCCTCACCTTGCTCATGACTTGCATAACAACTAAATAAAAACATAAACAATCAACAAAGTTGTCAGAAGCAAGCCGGTGACGCCGAAAATATATATATGTGTTCATAAATTTAAAAGTATCGAGAGAACTTAATACTGTCTCGCTCCAGTGAACCTCCAATGTTCAGAGCGAGCAAAATTTGGCAATGCTTTTAATCGTCGTTCCCCGATAAATATATGGAAAAGTTTTTTCTATTCGAGATTAGTTGTCGTTTGCCAGCGACTCGCTGTGGTTGCTTTGGGAATGAGCTTGCCATGTTTTGGAACTGGACTGGGTCCGCTCCTCGGAGGCCTGGTATTTGTAGTGCTGGTGGGGATGGGCTTGGGGGCAGCCGCCGTCGAGGGGGAGGTTCAAAGTTCACGCATTCTGGCCGTGTTCCCCTTCCCAGGCCGATCGCAGTACATTTTCGCCGAACAGTATCTGAAGGAGTTGTCCCGGCGAGGTCATAATGTTACTGTGATCAACACTTTTGGCAGCGATAAAACTGAGCCCAACTTTCGGGTTATTGGAGCCAAGAAAATACACGAAATAATGGCGGGTAAGTGCACTTGAAAAGTTTAGAACTTATCAGGTAAAGAAGGCTCTACATGTTGCCATGGCCTTGATCGATCTATTTCAATTGGAAATTGATTAAATCTATATTGTTTAGATAACTAGAAACGTATAGTACATGTAAAACCCCTATGTATTTCAGCATTTTCCAACTTGGCCTACGACCAGACAGCCAGTCAATGGACAGTGCTGACCATGACAACGGATTTTCTTAATCTGCTGACCACAAGTGTGCTGGATGAGCCGGCTGTAAAGGATTTATTGGAAAGTCAGGAGCACTTTGATCTGGTTATAATGGAAACTGTACAGAACGAAGCTCTCTTTGGCCTGGCACAGCATTTTGGGGCCCTGACTATGGGCATCTCGTCGTACGGAACGGATCGTCACATTGATGAGTTGATGGGCAATATATCGCCATTGTCCTACAATCCCATGCTCCTTTCGTCGCGAACGGAGCGAATGGTCTTCGAGGAGCGTCTGTGGAATGTGTGGGAGGCTATTGTCATTTGGCTGCACAAGAGGATTGTCCATCTACCCACCCAAAGGGAGCTGTATGCCAAATACTTTCCTTCTGCCCGGAAATCTCTGGAAGAGATCATGGATAGTTTTTCGCTGGTTCTGTTGGGTCAGCACTTTTCGCTGAGCTATCCACGTTCCTACCTGCCCAATATGATTGAGGTGGGCGGACTCCATCTGCAGCAGCAGCGAAAGGTGCAGGATTTGCCCAAGGAATTGGCCCAGTTCGTAGATCAATCGCCTGAGGGAGTTATATACTTCTCCATGGGTTCGAATATCAAGAGCGCCGACTTACCGCCAGCCCGGCGTGAGGTTCTGATGGAGACGTTCGCCAGCTTGCGGCAGCGGATCCTGTGGAAATTTGAGGACGATCAGTTGCCCGGGAAACCGGAGAATGTTTTCATTAGCAAGTGGTTCCCCCAACCGGACCTGCTGGCTCATCCGAATGTGAAGCTGTTCATCACCCACGGCGGACTACTCAGCACCATCGAGAGCATTTACTTTGGAAAGCCCGTTCTGGGTCTGCCCGTTTTCTACGATCAGCACCTGAATGTCCAGCGGGCGAAGCAAGCGGGCTATGGCCTCAGTGCGGATTTGTGGAGCGCCAATGCCACGGAGCTCACATCCCTGATTCAGGAACTGCTAAGCAATTCCAGTTACGCTGCAGCGGCGCAAACCAAGTCCAAACTGTTCCGAGATCAAAAGGAGACAGCCCTGGAGCGGGCCGTCTGGTGGACTGAGTACGTACTGCGGCACGAGGGAGCCAAACACTTGAGATGTGCCTCCCGCGATCTCAGTTTCATCCAGTTGCATGGCCTCGACACCTGGGGACTGCTCATCGCAGTCACTGCGGTCGCCACACTGATTTTCGTGATTGCCTTGAACTACCTACTGAGGGGTCTCAGTTATATCATCGCCAGGCATCGTGGGTCGGCGAGCAAATTGAAGACCCAGTAACCAATTAAAGTTCATTAACTAGTCTCGTTTATACAGTCACCTATCTGTTGTATGTTTTGTGTTTTGAAGCACTCGTAATCAGTTGAACTTAACACTTTACTCATAGGAATAAGAACAACTTAATGTTTGAGATTAAAGCCCACCTTATGAAACATAAATATGCTTTATTTGTTTTTATTGGAAGAATGGAAAGTTTACATCTTAAGCTGTGCTAATTATAGATTTTGGAAACAGAAAAAAAAAAAACTATTGAAAATATAGATTTGTAATTCTTCGCCACGATAGAGTATGAAGGGATTAATATTCAAACATTTCGAAAAAATAATCACTAAGTATCAAACGTATTTATTAACTTTGTTTCTCGGCACGCATAAACTTTAGCCTTTGTTTGTCAGTTTAATTCGGGCTGTCACAAACATAGACATTACACTAAGAAAAACATTGAATCAGAATCAAGTTATTAGCTTAACTTTAAATTGAAATATATGTTTTTTTATATAGGAACGAGTTTAAAATAATTTGTAATATCCCGTTTTTTCCCCTTGATTTTCTAATATTATATATAAATAACCAAGCTCTCTATTTTTTTTGTAATGCATTCAATTGTTAATTTAATCATGCAATTATTTAATATACCAGGTACCTATATATTTATCAAAGTAATAGGAAGACATTTTTTAGTATATACTTTTTTGACCAGCGTCGCCAGCGGCGTCGATTTAGTCTTTCCATTATTTATTTTTATTAAAAGAGAATTCTGGTTCTTATTTTATTATGATTATTATATATATTATTGTATATTTATATTTATTTCTAGGGGTTTCTCAAAGCCCAGCATACCCTACTGTGGCTTTAAAATGTTTTTATTGTATGTTTCTATGGGGTGCGACGGTGAGATGTGGATCGCCTACGAAATTTCCGTAATCGCATCTCAAACGAATTGCCATCGCATGTCAGTGTCTCAGAGTCTTATCTAATAGTAGTAGATAGCCCGCCGTAATGTGTTTTTTCAGATTCAGTTCATCGCTTGAGTTTGCTGCGACTAGACTATGCTGGCCATTCGTCTGTGCAGTTTTTTGCTGATTCTTCCCGCTTGCCTGGAGGCAGCCAGGATACTTGCCGTATTCCCCTTTCCAGGACCATCGCAGTACATCAATGTGGTGCCCTATTTAAAGGCTCTGGCATCTCGGGGCCACGAGGTGACCTCGATCAATGCCTTTCCGCAGAAGAAACCAGTCAAGAACTTTCGAGATATTCCTATCTTGGAAGTGTTTAACAACTACAATGGTAAGTCCCATAAGAGTGAGCTTGGAAACATTGTTTTCTTTAGTTTTATAATCACCATTTCAGATATCATAAACGATCTCAATGATCCCATGAACATATGGGAGGAGAACAACTTTATAAACAAATTCTTTGTGGACATCACGCGCTCTGTTCTCAACAACAAAGAGGTGCAGGAGACCCTGTTGCCGCCTGGAAAGGATCACTACGATCTTATTATTGTGGAGGCTCTGCGCTCGGACGCCTATTACGGCTTTGCGGCCCACTTCAATGCACCTATTATTGGCATCTCCACCTTTGGCACCGACTATAACATCGATGAGCTGGTCGGCAATGTCTCACCCCTGTCGTATATTCCTCTGGTGACAGATGGTTTCACCGACCGAATGACTTTCTCGGAGCGGATGACAAACTTTGTGGACACTACAATTGCCTGGCTCAACTACAGATATGTGCATATGCCGGAGCAGGAGAAAATGTATGCGGAGCACTTCCCGGAAGCATCGAAACGGGTTCCCCTGTCGGAGTTGAACAGGAACTTCTCGCTGGTGCTCCTCAATCAGCATTTTTCGCTGAGTTTCCCACGACCCTACGTTCCGAATATGATCCAAGTTGGAGGTCTGCACATTTCTCACAAGCCAGCTCCCTTGCCCAAGGACCTGGAGGATTTTATTCAGGGTGCCGAAGATCAGGGTGTGATCTACTTTTCCCTGGGTTCAAATGTCCAGAGCAAGGATCTACCGGCTGACAGAAGGGAGGTGATTCTGAAGACCTTTGCTAGTCTGCCGCAGCGAGTCCTGTGGAAGTTCGAGGACGACCAGCTGCCGGGAAAACCCCCAAATGTTTTCATTAGCAAGTGGTTCCCCCAGCCCGACATCCTGGCCCACCCGAAGGTGAAGTTGTTCATCACTCATGGCGGTTTGCTGAGCACCATCGAGAGCATCCATCATGGCAAGCCCGTTTTGGGTCTGCCCTTCTTCTACGATCAGTTCCTGAACGTCAGGCGGGCCACTCAGGCGGGATTTGGCTTGGGACTGGATCACAAGACGATGACCCAGCAGGAGTTCAGGGCGACAATCGAGCGGCTGCTTAAGGAACCTCGGTATGCGGAGACGGCCAAGCAAATGTCGGATCGGTATCGGGATCAGCCCATGTCTCCACTGGACACGGCCATATGGTGGACAGAGTATGTGCTGCGGCACAAGGGAGCGTACCACATGCGAGTGGCTGGCCAGGATTTGGGTTTCTTCGCCTACCACAGCGTGGATGTCATTGGAACTCTTTTGGGTGGAGCCCTACTGATCATTGTGGTAACTGCTGCCCTTCTTTGGAAAATAGCAAAGCTAGCTGGACTTGGAAGTTCCAAGAAGAAACTAAAAGAGCAGTGAAAATAATGATTTTTTTAATTAGCGGATCTTTTTATGTCCTTTTAATTTTACAACATTAAAATTGGTGATGTAATTGAACATACAAAATTGTACATTATTTTAATCAAATCCGATCTGATTAGTACAAACAACATAGAAAATAAGCCGCAAGATATGAGTTTTTTGATTTATAACATACTTTGAAAGGGTTCTTTCCCTAGTGTGTCTCTCTTTATTGGAAAGGAAAGTTTTTAATTTATTGTCTCAATTCCCCAAGCACACTTTGTGCTTAATCTTATCGTAACTGGCGGGTGGGTGAGCTCCGCTGTCTACACAGTCTTCTGTCTGAGCTCGAGGGCAGCGCATGGCTATTCCAACTATGTTACCTCCGAACTGGTTTCCGAGATGCCTTTGCCTGCTGTTGTGTATACTGCCTGGGTATCTGGACTCTGCTCGAATCTTGGCCTTATATCCCATACCGGGTTACTCGCACTACTACCACTCCTTGCCGTATATTAAAGGTTTGGCCTCTTTGGGTCATGAAGTCACCTTGGTGAGTCCGTTTTCGTTGAAAGAGCCTTTTGCAAATATTCACGAAATTCATGTTCCGGAACTGTTTGACTATAACGAAGGTAAGTACACGGAAGACCACAAAATATAAGATTTATAATATTGTTTAAAATGTAAATATTGCATAGGAGTGATTAGCAATATTATATTTCTATTCTATTTATGTTTTTTTTACAGAGCTTGTTAAGATCTTAACCACGTCACCTGGCACTTGGGAGTATAATGACCATATAAACAACTGCAACCTAAATCTGGCAAAGAAATTTCTAAACAATGACGGAGTGCGTCGGGAGATTCTTAAGCCTGGGAAAACACAATTTGACTTGATTCTCATAGATCTATGGCGGATGGATGCTCTATATGGGCTGGCGGCTTACTTTGAGGCACCCATCATTGGAATAGCATCGTACGGCATCGACTGGAAGATAGACGAGTTGGTGGGCAATACATCCCCGATGTCGTATCTCCAGTCACCCTCATTTAGCTGGCACAATCTGGAGACCTATGCTGGCCGTCTGGCACACTTTATTGAGCGATCGATTTCCTGGGTTAACTGGAGATGGCGGTACGAGGAGAAGCACGAGGCTCTGTACAGAAAATACTTCCCGAAAATCGCCGATAAGAAGCCCCTATCTGAGATTACCCGAAACTTTGCTTTGGTGCTTGTAAATCAACACTTTACACTGGCTCCGCCGCGACCATTGGCTCCGAATGTGATCGAAGTGGGAGGCATGCACATCGATCACCAGCCTACGCCTTTGCCGCCAGACATGGAGAACTTCGTCCAAGGCTCTGGCGAGGATGGGGTTATTTTCTTCTCGCTGGGCACCAATGTCAGAGGCAACACGCTGACAGAGGACCGACTGAGAGTATTGCTGGATACATTTGAGAGTCTGCCACAGCGTATCCTATGGAAGTTCGATGACGAGGAGTTGCGTGGAAAACCTTCCAATGTATTGATTAGGAAGTGGTTCCCCCAGCAGGATATCCTGGCGCATCCAAAGGTAAAGCTCTTCATCACCCACGGGGGACTGCAAAGCACCGTTGAGAGCATTCACCATGGCACGCCCATGCTGGGATTGCCCTTCTTTTACGACCAGTTCCGCAACATGGACCATGTCAGTCAGCAAGGTTTGGGTTTGGTTTTAAACTTTTGGGAAATGACATCTGAAGAGCTTAAGACCACCATTTTGCGGTTGCTAGAGGAGAAGAGTTTCGATATCACGGCGAGAACAATAGCTGCCCGATATAGGGATCAACCCACAAGGCCTCTGGAAAATGCCATCTGGTGGACTCATTACGTTCTTCGGCACAAGGGTGCGACTTACATGCGTGTGGCTGGCCGGGAATTGGACTTCTTCACCTACCACAGCCTGGATGTCCTGGGCACTTGTCTCTTACTTTTTCTAATTATTTTTTCTGTGGCAACCGTTTGTGTGCTGAAGTCACTGAGGTTGATCCTGCGACGTGGAGGTCATAAGAATAACAGAAAACAGAAAGTACAGTAATTGAGGTGTTAATTGGTTGGTTTTTAATTCCTTCATTATATTTTGTAAATTTTTTTTTTATAATATCTGAGAAGTAAATTCAACAAACGTTGCTTAAAAGAGTGAAGTTTATAAACACCAACAAAAGCAAGTTTAAATGCTATTATTATGACCTTGTTTGTGATAACTATAACCTCTTCAATAAAAGCAAAACAAACCAAAAACTAGATGGGGTCTACCGTCATCTGGCCAACTTCAGCTCACATGTGCACTCGATTTCCAGTGGCGCTTTCACCGCAGATAGCACAGGCCGCGACCAAAATGATAGGATATTATGATGAGCGTATTTATCATATAACGATGCTCTCTGGTCACACACAAAGCTGCTCGATTGCCGTCCAGTGAATTATGGAATACGCATACAAATATTTGCACGGCCGTGGCTTGTATACGCCTGTCGGTGCGTATTTATTAACCGCTGCCAATCAGTTGCATACGCTGCGTATGCGTAATATTAAATTGCATGGAGTCACTTCCGTTGGATTGGTTTGGCTCATTTGGGTTCGGCCGCTTTTGGCCGTTTTTGGCCGCATTGCCAAATGCGTAATCAAAAATTCATGAGCTATATAAATGTGGTGTGGCTGCCACTGCCATTAGCTTTGCGTGTGTGTGTGTGTGTGTTTTGTGTGTCGGTATGCAAATGTAGATAATTTCATGCGATTTAGGGTTCGACCTGATCCCATCCGATGACCCATCCCCGCAGATCCCTCAAAAGTGCCGAGTGTGGTCGAATGGGGGATATAAGGCAATTTAATGATGTCCTGTTTTGTGGTTCGACGCGTTTTTAATGAGCTGTTGATTATCGATGTTGTCGATATAGCAAAAACACTTATTGCCTTGTAGATTCTTCCTATGCAGGAGTCTCAATTTAATTGCCACTTGCAACTCAAGCAAGCTATTATTTACGCAATGTCAGCAATTCCAATTTGCACTTTTGGAAATGTGTCGAAATATCAGCTCACCTCTCCACTGAATCGAATTTCATCTGTGAGTTGTCCCAGCAAATCGGTCGGTTGACTGCATCTCTCTTTTTTAGCTCCCTTCTCCCCACGTATTTTACAACAATTTGTGCAGGGTAAAAGTCGAGAAAAGTCGAACTGCAGCTCTCTAAATTGGTACAAAATATGCAGCAGTGCCTGGCTCGATGCTTGTTCACCTGACGATAGTTATGCGCTCAAGCATTTCGTCATTTTTTTTGTCTTTTAATTTCTGTTCGATGTCAGACGGGAGATGAGGATGTCATCCGCCTTAAAGGTTTCCGTTGACATGTTTCACAGTTGCTGCGACAAAACGATGAAGTATTATACTATTAAAATTATGCAAATTTTTTTTTTTTGAGTTTCGATGGGAGTTTAAGGAATAAACTTGCATTTACTTGAGCAAATTTTTTAATATTTAATTGCCTGATCTGAAGTTTATCTATCTATCTTTAAGACTTTGATAAAACCTTAACTAAATATATCATAGTTAAAATATGACAATGCCTTTTATTTCTATTTTTCGAAAAAATAATATTCATGACTATAGTATATTTGAATATCACTCCACTGTATAATTTACATTGGAGAACTTGGTTAAATGTCGAGAATATAAAATAATAAAAAAAAATATTTTTTTTTTAAAAGCCGCTCAATGGAAATAGTTCATCCCAAATGTGATATCGATCCAAATAAAAGCCACCCGTTTTTGCTGTCAGATTTGTACCAATTTCCAAATAGTCTTGATTTTCTGAAGTATACCGAGGCCAGTTGAGCTCTTTGAGGTATTCATCGTTCTTATTGTGAGGATCACTAGTAAAAATCAGCAAGACATTACATAGCTTTCCCCATTCAAAAAAAATACTCACCCTTTTTTAGCAAATTCCATCCACATGCGTGTCATTCGCTCAATAATAAAGTTCTCTGGATCTTCCCGTTTTAAAAGAGGACTTATAAGGCCTACATGGAACAAATACAGGAGCTCATCATGGTGTACGGGACCTAAAAACACAACAAATTTATCCAAAACATAACCTTGGCATTAAAAATGTATACTCACCCATGGCCTCTTGGTTATCGGGGTTTTTCAGAAAACTATATCTACCCTTGTACCGAAACAGATACGTGTAGATCGGTGTGTGCGGGGCCATCAGGCGGAGAAAGCGATTAAAGGCCACTCCAATCAAGGCATCGCTGAAGAGTTCCCCTAAGCCCTTAAGGGACTTTGGATACTCCAGTTTGTCACGGCTTTCCGGCAGATATTTCTCTCTCAAAACGCGAGTGGCAGTTCGTGACTGGTTCGAGTCACGATCCAAAATCAGAGCAATCGGAGCAAAGCGTTCCCAGTCAGAATTGTATTTGCTCACGATGCTTGCATTGCGCAGATCCCCTAAAAGAAAAAAAAGAAAATTAAGGAATTATTTTTATTTTAACAAAAAGAGAACTTACAGAATGCTGCAGATTTGAATTCAAACTCTGTGATTCCAGTGATAAGAGGCACTTTGTAGAAGTCGCCACGCCGGGCGGTCTTAAAGGGATCTTCGATAAGGAACCGCTCCTGACCAAAGTCCTCCTCGACCACGATCCTCCAGTTGAGCACAGGATTCCAACCAAACTCGAACATTCCATTGTAGGTGCTTACGTAGTCCAAGTAAGGTTTACGCCTCATACACTCGACCATTTCCGCAACGGGTTCTTGGGGGCACTTCAATAGCCTCGCTTGACGCTGGGCCAGCTGAAGGTCATTGCTATGGTATTTAGGGGGTCCATATGGAGAGGCACTCATGCAGATGCCACGATGGAAGAGACCCCGCGACATGGGCGAGATCATGTGCAGGCCAATGCTGATACTGCCTGCACTGTATCCCAGGAGGGTTACACTTTGGGGGTCCCCGCCGAAACGGTGGATGTGCTTCTGAACCCAGCGCAGTGCCAGGACCTGATCCTTGAGACCCGCATTCCCGGGAGCATCCTTAGTGCCGGTGGCCAGGAATCCCAAGCTGCCCAACCGATAGTTCAGCGAGACCAGGACACAATCGCGATCCATAAAATGCTCTGGTCCAGCCAGGTACTTGCTCTGTCCGGAGAACACGTAAAAGCCACCAGGATGCAGAAAAACGATCACCGGCTTTCGGGCCTTCACATCCTTCGTGTAAACGTTGAGGCGCAGACAATCCTCAGAGACATCGGTCATGTTATCCCACGGCTGCGGACACATCGGTCCGTCTTGGCTGGCATCGAAGGTCCCCGGAGACCAGGGCTTCACAGGCTGCGGATTCACGAAGCGCAGCTCACCCAGAGCCGGCTCTGCATAGCGAATACCCCGAAAGGCATGGAAGCTTACACCCAATCGGGAGGTGAGGTTTACTCCCCGTACGCGTCCCAGATCGGTGTCAACTTCGATGGAAAAAACCGATGAGCTGGCCAGCAGAACCAGCAGTTCCACTACCAAGATCTTGATCATCTTGCTGCACGCTCTTGACTGAGTTGTGAAAGGTTCCGCTGCCTTCTTTATAGTAAGCTAAGTGCCTGAAATCGCATCTGGGGCTTTACCCACTGATGATTGAGGTCTGATCGGGCATAATAACGACACCGCTTGGACGTTTTCATGCGAACAGATTCATACCTATAGAAGACGTTGCCGAACAGCTGAATAGTCGCCGCAGATAAAAACAAAGGAATGGGACAAAAAATATTTTTTTATATCAGGTGGAAAATTTGTGTTATTTTTAGACTTTAAATAAAAAATTTTGAATGGTGTGCACACCAGGGTAAGCTAAGATTTCACTCGTTAAAAAAGTAATTCTTACTTTTAGCAGTTAAATTAAGTAATAAAGAACTCTAGCCTTAGCTTAAAAGTATAACATAAAAATTATTGTAGTTTTATTAAAAATTAAATTTGTTTTTCTGTGAATATTATAAAAAACTCCCGTACCTAATAACTTTATTTGATAAAGTGTTCCAAATACATATGTGTAGTAGAATAAAATTAAGTAGAATTGAATTAGTTTCTGTGTGAATGTATGGAAAATTCCCCAACAAGTTCATGGTTACCCAATATTTAATCACACATTATTAAGTTTTGACATAAAAAAAAAAATATTTTGAATAGTAACACAAAAAAATTGTTAATTAGCGCATTTAAGGTAAAGAAGAACTAACTTCCAATTAATATAAAATGTATTTACAATAATAAATATTTTCATTATTTGGTAATTTGGACTATTGTTATATATTTTAGGAATACTATTTTAAGGCATATATAGTTGCCTACTTCCAGATTTATATATAATGGATAAGAAATAACTTTTATTTTTAATTTTCACGTGTTCAAGGAAATGATATATTAGGCGATTGAGACGCCAAAACTCTCTGATTTACGAGATGACCGGAATTTTTAGCAGGTGATTCTCCAATACGTCGTATATTTACTAATATCACTTGGGAACAACATTAAGGAAGTTGGAGTAAACAATAAGCCTTAGAGAAATGCTTATTGTTGACTTGTTTTAAGTCTTTTTATACAGTCTTTTTTACATATAGCGCCTTGGATTATGTTAAACAAGTTTTAATAAGGATCCCTAATATATAATAGCAATAAACATAGCCTATATTACTGAGGGTGAAAGAATATTTCATTCAACACGGTAGTTTTTGAATTTGTTTATGACATTCATACATACACAAAATACAAATCTTTCCTTTTATAATAGTATAACCTGAAGGTCCCGATGGTCGGAGACGTTCTCCAAGATTTGGCAATCAGATATGTGAATCGCCTCGAAAACCACCCTAATGCTTTGGCCAGACACCTTAGAGGGAGACCCAGAACAAGACGATTAAAAAGATGCCATCCAATCGACCTTCCTAAAAGGGTCATAACATAATACACTTAACAAATTCACATAACATAATACACATAACATATTACACATAACATAATACGCATAACATCATATTACACATAATACACAAAAATATAAATGTAAATATGTATGTAGGATATTGTATAGGTTGTACTTTATCTTTTTGTTTTTTGTTTTTAATATGAAACTAGATTAAGTTGCCTCAGCGGTATCAGAAAGCTAGTTAAAATCAAATAAACATTTTTAACAAAAAAAAAAAAAAAAAAAAAAAAAAATTGTATATTAGTATACTTAATAGTAGTATACTATCACTATACTATAAAGTATATTCCTACTGCTACTAATGCATTAAATTTTAAAAGTAGATTTTATTTTTTTATCATTGTATTATTAGCAAGAAAGTTACAGTTTCCATTCACAGACCTACTTTTTTTTCTACATCTGCCGATGCTAATTACATATATGATATAGTCGTCCGTTTTTCAAAAAATTAAAACCGAAATAAATAAAAATAAATAGTAGTAATAGTTTAAGTATAAATTGTGCTTAATCTGGGGAACCTGATATATCCTACAAAAGCAAGGACTCCTTGGCCGCACTCTTTACAGTCGGTCCGGCTTAAAGCCGTCAACATTTCCGCGACGGACGCTGATTTTCCAGCAGCATGGCCATGGCCCAAAACAGTTTCAATAAGTTGCGCTAAAACTTTTACACGCCTTTTGCCAGCCCAAGAAACGAGGGAGGGTGTCAGGGAGGCTAGTGAAAACAGGAGGAGGATGCACGGCGAGGAAAATAAAAGCATTTAGCCTGGGGCCTTTTGTGGGAGTGGCAGCGTGAGTGGGCGTGGCACTCAGTTTGGTTGCTGTTAAAAATTTGAACGCGCTGATGGGCATTTTTACAACTGAAGCGTTAACTATGTGCAACTTGCAACAAGAGGGGAGAGCTGCTGAGCGGGCAAAGAAAAGAGGATCCATTGAGGAAATTTCGAAACGGAATAATGACTACTCTAAAAAGTAACAAAAATTTACCTAAATTTTAATTAAGGTCACGTTTTTCATTTCATTTAATATGCCTTCTATTTAGAAAGAAAATTATGTTAGAAATAGAAATAGTGAAGTAACTGATTCATGCTGACTTTTATTGTTTAAGCTATTGTCATGTGACATAAGTAATAATTTTTTAAATAATAAAAATAATAATAATAATGTAGTTTCTACAAATGTTGCTTAATTTTTATTAAAACTTGTTCATCATTGACTTCATAATATATAAATCTTTGGTCCTTTAGTTCTTAGAGTATTATTACCTCAAATACATGTACCAGTTTCAAAACCCACATAATATTCAGAGCTCGCTTAGTTAGGGTATAAAACTATAAAGGGGAATAAAATCAGTAGGGAAACAAAGAGGAAGGGCAAAAGAGAAAATGGTATGGCAACGAAGTATTTTTTCGATAGAAGTTCACAATATTTTCCGTTTTAGTTTACAAGTTTCGAGCCGCAGGCTGGAACCAACCGCTCAACCCACTGAAAAATCAAATAAAATTTTCACGAACTTGTCCAACAACAAAATGGTTACGACTAATATATAATATATATTATTTTTTATTTTGAACCGAATTGACTTTCTTTATCTTTCTGCTAAAAACACAGCTTAAAAACCTAGCACAGTATGCATTCTTAGGAGAGCTATTCTTACTTATTAGCAGGTCCTGGACACATTAATCTCTTCTTCTTAGTTACGCTTGACCTTCGGCTTTTGTTTGTGAGTGTCCTTCCTTACAAACAATTCCTGCAGGAAGCGCCACACCCTACGTATGAGCAGCAGAATGCAGAATATCACGAATGCAATGCCTCCGTACAGGACCAGCATGGTATCCAGGCTGTGATACTGAATGAAATTCAGATCCTGGGAGGCGCTCCTTAAATACTTGGCGCCCTTGTGCCGGGACACGTGCTCTACCCAGAACACAGCTCGCTCCAGGGGCTTCTGCGGCTGATCCCGATACCTGTCGGACATGTCACGCACCTTCTTGGTGGCCTCAGGATCCTCAATAAGTCGCTGAATGGCCGCCAGGAGCCTGGGAGCAGTCAGTTCCTCGTAGTTCACCGTCACACCATAGCCATTCTGCTCGGCCCGAGCCATGTTCAGGAACTGATCCCCAAAGATCGGGATGCCCACGAAGGGCTTGCGGTGGTAAATCGATTCCGTGGTACTCAAAAGACCGCCGTGGGTGATGAAGGCAATCACATTGTCGTGAGCCAGGATATCGTCCTGGGGGAACCAGTCGGAGATGAAGACATTGTCGGGTTTTCCGGGCAAGTTCGTGTCCTCGAACTTCCACAGCACTCGCTGCTTCAGCTGGGCAAAAGTGTCGATCAAGGCCTGTCTCTTGTCCAGGGGCAGGGTCTTGCTCTTCAGGTTGGAGCCCATTGAGAAGTAGATGACACCATGCTCGGCCCCCTCGATGAACGCCTCAATGTCCTTAGGCAGGGGCTGGCGTTTCCGGTTGATATGCATGCCGCCCACCTCGATCATGTTGGGGGAGTAGGGTCGCGGGAAACTGAGTGAGACATGCTGATTGAGCAGCACCAGAGCCGTGTTCCGGCGCATATCGTAAAAGTCCTGCTTGTTGTTGGGGAAGTACTTCCGGTACAGAACCTCTTGTCGGGGCAGATAGACAAAGTTTAGGAACAGATACTCGTAGGTGGCAAAGGCCAGATTGGCCACGCGCTCCACAAAGGACATGCGGTCGCTGAACTTGAGCATGGCATGCGGCACGTACGACGGCGGCGAGGGCGTGCCAACCTATGAAGATTCAGAGAAGAAATTATTAGTCTAAGGATAACATAAAACTTGTTCTCATTCTGCTCACCAGATCTGTGTTCCAGCTAATGGCCCCAAAGGTGCCCACTCCTATCAGCGGGGCCTTGAAGTGCTCGGCCAGGCCGAAATGGGCTTCATTGAGGAAGACCTCACATATCACAGCATCGAAGGTCTGATTTGACTTCATAAGCTCCACCACACCAGGATCATTTAGCAAGAAATCGGTTATTTCAATACCCATTTGATGGAATTCCACGATCTGCTTCATTATCGGCTGCTTGGAACTCTCCAGCAAGTTGCTCATTCTTCCTGGAATTGTTATAAATTTGATAAATAAAGTAAATAAAAAGTGTACGTAATCATAATTGATTTTAAATATCAGACTGGGAAGTTTTGAATCAATAAACTTAGTTATTAGAAGCTTGATAAGAAGGCATGATAATTGGATTCAATCGACGTAATCTCTTAAGAAGTTACGAAACTTTTTGAACAATGAACTTGTATTCAACACACAGTACTTTTAGGCTTGGGTTTTAATAATACTGTATAAAAGGCTGTATAAATGCTTAGCTATTCACAAAACAGATTACTAAAGCAGACTTTGTTCTTGTTTAATTATAAAATAATAATATGAAATGTGTAATATCTGAAAAAAAACTAAAAGTGAAGCTGGAAAATGGGGAGAACATTTAATTTGAACTAAGTAAATGTTGATATTAAATATATATATGTATACAACAACTAATAGTTATTGTTATTCAACTAAAATATGAGTCGCAGGCAGAACCATTAGTTTTGATTTAATCAAAAAAGTAGCAGAAAGCAAATCAAAACAAATCTACATATATTGTAAATAGCCAAAACTAAATTAAACCGGTTTGAACCATATGTTATGTTATTTGTGTCATTTAAATAAACATAGGGTATAAGCTCTAAAAGCTTTTATCGTTACACTTTTGTAAGGCACAACTCGGTTTATTTACCACTCCAATAGGAATTTCAGTTAGGGTAAAAATATTACATAAAACTACAGAATTTGCGTCTACAAAAACGAATTATAGGTTGTACTTTACAGCACAGCGATTAGCAACAATAGATGCCAATTGTGCAATCTTGCAATTACCAAAACTTAAGTAAACTTACCCTGCATTCTGGCTATAATGCCCTTGGCTGTCACATCCTTGATGTTTTTGATGGGTTTCTTCAGCTCGAAGGGTGACACAAGGGTGACCTGATGGCCGGCATTGGCTAATCCCTTGGCCAGGGCTGATCCCACATGGTAGTGGGATCGGGCGGCCGTATGGAGCACCATTAGATAATTGTAGGCGGACACGCAGCTCAGCAGGCAAAGCAGCAGCAGGCCCAGGAAACTCGTTTGACCACCTGTTGGCTTCATTTTATCCGTTCTTCGAGCCACAAATTCCAGCCAATTAATGGGACTTAATTGTCATTAGTTGTGAAATACGCGTGTTCTTTATTGTTATCAAACCCAAACGGTGGTGTTCCCAGAAGCTGCTATCATCGATACGCACGCCTTCGCTTCTCGAAATAAACTGAGCTAGCTCGGGGCTGCGATGAGGTAATTATAAGCGTTGGGTAGGTCCCAGTTCCGATACTCGGAGCTCTGACCCGTCGGTAACCAGTACCTTTATTCTCGCAATCGCGCCATATCTCAATGTTTCAGTAGTTCTCTCTCTATCATCGTTACGTAGCTAAAAATGACACTTCAGAATTTTAAGGCTGCTCACGATCGGAAAGCTATATTTGAAGGTATTAGTTTCTCTTTCGCTCTCATCGCGCGCTATAGGTTGTGTTTCGTTTTCCATATTCCCTCCTTTGTTTTGTTTTGGGCCGCTAAATTTTGATAGATTAAACAAGAATTTTGTTTGGGACTTATACATACATATGTACGTGTGTATACATTTATGATTGTTGGTTGTTTCACTGATAATTAACGGTCTAGACTCTAGAGTTATGGGTGTAGTCGTATTATTTTTAAAAGGGTTCGTCTAGGGCTACTTAAAAATGAAAATATTATTAAGGCCCCATTGACCCACTGTGTTTATACAAAAATATCTTTATAATAAAGTTAATATGGCTTATTTGTATATTTTTTAATTTGGTATATAAACAAATTTACATTAACTTGGAACAGAAAGTATTATTTTATCCATTGAATTTTAGACCTTTGATAATACAAAATTATTTTTTTAATAATCTTATAAAAAATGTAACCCTTTCCTTTAACATTTTTATTGATTATTATCATAAAAAATGAAAGAAAAGTGTATAGTGGTTCCCTTCTGTTTGTTAAATTGTTGCCATCAGAAATTGCAATTCAGTAATTGGTTTGAGTTTTATATCATATACTATGTACATAAAGGTATCAAAGTTGAATTACACTGGCAGATACAACTTTAGAAAAGGCCAAAAAAAGAAAACTGCAATGTTTAAGATATATGTATATTCAAGAGACGATATATCGAGACTCAATAAATTTATTTTATGTCTAAATTTTTAGGAATATTCATGTCGGAGTTAATACGTAAATTTGTGTATGAATTCATTCCTTCATTTTTAGGATAATGAAGGAAAATGTAGGCCTGAATTCATGCTAAAATGATTTTATAGGAGAATCATTCATAGAAAAATTATGTTTTATAGTTATAGCTTAAATAATATCGAAAAAACCTACGTATTGCAATTACTAAAAAGATTTTATTAAGAAATAATATATTTAAAATCGGTTTCAGTATACTTAGACCATTCCGAAAGCGATTAAGTATTCTTGTTTTAATTCATTAATTTATATAAATAATTTATAATTCATACTTAGTAAAATAAAGTTTGTTTCTAGAATCTGCAAGATCATCTTTGTTATTTTATTAGTTTATTAATTTAATAAAGTTAACATTAACTAAAGTGTCTTATTTAATTTAATTAATCTTATGTTTTGAACTTTTCGCTGTGCAACCTTTCACTTTTAATGCAACAAATCGGACAAGAAGCACGAATAAAACCAAAACTAAGCTCAACACTGTAAAAAATGCGGCTAAAACGTCCAGATTGTGATACTCCACGAAGCTTAGATCCTGCGAGGCACTCCTCAGGTACTTGGCTCCCTTCTGCCGTGCCACATGCTCCACCCAGTAAATAGCGCGCTCCAGGGGGGTCTCTTTCTGATCCCTAAACTGACTGGACATGACCTTGACCCTCTGCAAATAACTGGGGTCACCTGTGATGCGATCGATGGCGGAACGGAATAGAGGTGCGGTGAGTTGACCGTATCTTACGGTGATTCCATAACCCGATTGCTCGGCTCGGGCCATGTTCATGAACTGATCCCCGAAGAAGGGTATTCCCACGACCGGCTTGCCGTGGTAAATAGTCTCCATGGTGCTCAAGAGTCCGCCGTGGGTTATGAAGGCAATCACGTTCTCGTGGGCCAGAATGTCGTCCTGTGGGAACCATTTGGATACGAACACGTTAGCAGGCTTGTCGGCAAAGTCTTCCTCTTCGTACTTCCAAAGCACTCGGTACTTGAGTCCTCTCAGGGTCTCCACAATGGCTCTACGTTTCTCCTCTGGCAAGTCCTTACTTTTTAGATTGGAGCCCAAGGAGAAATAGATCACACCGTGCTCGGCTCCCTCGATGAATTCCCGAATATCCACGGGCAGGGGCTTCGGGTCATTTCGATTCACGTGCATTCCTCCGACCTCAATCATATTGGGCGAATAGGGACGAGGATTGCTTAGAGAAACGTGAGTGTTTAGCAAAACCAACGAAGTGCCTCTGCGCATCTCATAAAAGTCCTGCTTATTGCTGGGGAAGTATTTCCTATACAAGGCCTCTTGCCTGGGTAGATTGACCCAGTTTTGGTAAATGTATTCGTATGCCTGGAATCCTAGATTCTGGGCTCGCTGCCAGAAATCCATGTGGTCATCGAATGGCAGTAAGCTATGAGGAACATACGACGGTGGAGAGGGAGTGCCCACTAGATCTGAGGTCCAGCCAGTGGCTCCTAGAGTGCTCAACGTGATCAGCGGTGCTCCAAAGTGCTCTGCGAACCCATAGTGGGCATCGTTCATGAATGTCTCGCAGATGACCGCATCGAAGGTTCGGTTTTGTCCCAGGAGCTCCTGCACCTCCGGGGCCACCAAGAGAGCCTCTGTTAGATCCAGTCCCATTCCATGCATATAGGGATAGCGAATTACCAAAGGTTTCTGGGCATTTTGTAAGATCCTCGCCTTGTAAACTGGAGTGTAAGTAAGGAAAAAAGATTAAAATGATTATGGGTTAAACTAATGTTTATATTTATCTCTATAGTTTTTTGATTACTCGCTACGATTTAGATAAGCAAACACGTTTTTATTATCAGGTGGCGTGTCGCTAGACGATAAGCCATACGTGACAGATCGAGGAAACACCCAGATAATATTTGGACTCACCTCCCATTACTTTGATAGTGTTCGGCGTGTCTACGTCGATGAGGTTCTTCACAGGTTTCTTTTGGGGAAAAGGTGATATCAGGGTGACCTCATGGCCGGCAGCTGTTAACCCTTTTGCCAGTGCCTCCCCCACAACGTGATGTGACTTTGAGGCGGTGTGCAACACCATCAGGTAGGAGTAACCACACACCTGACTCACCAAGGCCAAGGTAAGCAGAAAAGTCCAGGAATTAAGGAACCAGCTCATTGTCGCAATACTTTTGAATGTTTAAACTAGACTGAATTGAGCCAAATGGTGTCGCAGCTTGTTATAGTCCAGATAAGAAAAAATGCGAGTGGATTAGGTCAGTGATAAGCTTCAAGTGTTTATAGTAAACTGTTTTTTGAAAATATAAATAAATATTTATACACAGTAATAATTGAATCGCCGTTTTTTATATTAAATTTAAATAAATTATTTGGAAAGAAAACAGTAAAATTTGTAAGAAACATTCTACAAAATTAGTAAATCTTTCTCTCTTAAATATCTGTACTCTTTATGCCAACTATTTCTCTTTGGTTAAAAGCTTTAAATTAAGTCAAACACGTTTTGTTTGTCAGAAGAGAGAGATAGAGAGAAAGGAAGAGAGAGAGAGAGAGAGAGAGAGAGAGAGAGAGAGAGAGAGAGAAAGAAAGAGAGAGAGAGAGAGAGAGAAAGAAAGAGAGCGAGAGTAAGCACTCATGGGAGGAACTTAAGTTACTAAAGTCAAATTCTAATTGATCAGCAAATTTAAGTTCTGCACTCTTCCTGAAGTAAACTTACTTTGGTTTTGAAATAAAAAATATATTAAATGTATACAACAAATGTAAAACTAAAACAACGAAGATTCAAGAAATAAGAATAATGAATCTCCAGTGTTAATAACCTTAAAGAATCTATAATGTCTACTGTAAGGGTATTCAAAAATCCAAATTAACTATTGTACTTTTTCCACAATCAAAGCATTATGTTTACCATTTGGCTTGTGTCCAGTCCATGCTGAGCCTCACGCAACCGAGAATTTCACAATAATCGAGTGTGTCTATATGTATGTCTGATATCTATATAAATTCAAGGTTGAGTGCGGCAAACATTTTTAGTCTTGTGGAGCAGCGTGCTCGGTTAGGTTCTCGGTGTGGGGTTTCTTGTTTGATTTTCATCACCATGCGTTTATTTACCTTGATCTTGGCGCTAATATTTAGCCTGGGATCCTCCAGTGGCTACAAGTTTCTCATGATCTTGAACTCTCCCGGGCGCTCGCACTTTAATGTCGGCCATGCCCTGGCCAAGGGATTGGTCCAAGCAGGTCATGAGATCACCGTGGCATCTGTGTTTCCTCTGAAGAAACCCATTCCGGGCTATCATGATATTTATATTCCAAATGTGATAAATGCAATGAGGGGTAAGTGTTGAAAAAAGTGATTTTAATTATCTTTTTTTTATTAACTAATTCATATGTTATTTTATGATTCTATTAGGTGACTTGGCTGGCTTATGGGCATCTATTCAGAAATCTGTGACGCAGAAACTCATTGATCACTATCAAATGGGCTTCCGCTTGACCAGAGCCCTGTTTGAGGAACCCAACTTCCAGGAGCTCTTAAAGAGCAACAAAAGTTTCGATGCGATAATATGCGAGACCTTTTATAACGACGCCCACTATGGCTTGGCTGAGCATTTCAAGGCCCCACTTATAGGACTGAGCACCGGTGGTGGGTTGACTTTTATTACAGATATGGTAAGTAGAAGCATTAGCATTAATTGTATTTATCGTAAACAATTTCCTAAATTTATGAAATTTTTTTTCCCTTGAGTGTATACCAGTTTTAGTTAGAAGTTTGCAACGTGGTGAAAGAGTGATTTCCGACTCTAAAAAATATATATATATTTATGATCAGCAGCCGAGTCGATCTAGCCATGTCCGTCTATCCGATTGTCCGCCTGTCCGTTTCTACGCAAACTAGTCTCTAAGTTTTTAAGCTATTTGAATTCAACTTTGCAGATAGTTTTTTACTACTGTCACTAGTACTATATATGTAACTAATATATTATATAGATGCCATAGGACGACGTGCCGAAGTTGGCTCCATTTTGTTTTTTTGTGATTCTTAATTTCTTAATCTTTAATATTATTATTTTTATTTAATTTTATTATATTCTTATGAATTTGTATTCATCACCTTCCATTTCTCCCTGCAGGTTGGTTCTCCAGCTCCCGCTTCCTTTGTGCCCCACATAATGTTACCCTTTAACGATCATATGACTCTCTTCGAACGCCTCGCCAACGTGGCATTCCTGGCCTATGAAAGACTGCTCCTGGATTATTATTACTTGCCGGGACAGGAGCAACTATACCAGGAGTTCTTTCCGGACAATAAGCAGAGTTTCTACGAAATGCGCCGGAATGCCTCTCTGGTGCTGATCAACCAGCATGTGTCTCTAAGTTTCCCGCGTCCTTATGCGCCCAACATGGTCGAGGTGGGTGGCATGCACATCGATGGCAAGCTGAGTCCACTGCCCGAGCGCATCGAGAGGTTCCTCAATGAGTCAGAGCATGGAGTCATTTATTTTTCGATGGGCTCTAATCTTAAGAGCAAGGATCTGCCGCCCGCAAAGGTTCAAGAGATCCTAAAAGCCTTCAGGGGCCTCAAGCAGCGAGTTCTTTGGAAATTTGAGCTAGAGGATCTGCCCAACAAGCCGGATAATGTCTACATTTCCGACTGGTTTCCGCAGACCGACATACTAGCCCATCCGAAGGTTTTGGCCTTTGCCACCCACGGCGGAATGCTCAGCACCACGGAGTCCATTTACCATGGCAAGCCCGTAATCGGTTTGCCCATTTTCAGCGATCAATTCTTCAACATGGCTCATGCCGAGCAAACTGGCTATGGCATTATGCTGGACTTTAAGGCTTTAAAGGCCCAGGACTTCCGGGCGGCGATCGAGAGGATCACCAGCGAGCCCTCTTACGCAGAAGTGGTGCGAGGAATGTCTTTTAGATATCGGGATCAGCAGCACACGCCCTTGGAGAACGCCGTGTACTGGGTGGAGCATGTGACCCGACACCAAGGAGCTGCCTATTTGAAGAGTGCCGCCCAGAGACTGAACTGGTGGCAATACCACAACGCTGATGTCCTCCTCATACTCTTTGCAGTCGTGATCTTTACGATAATTCTACTGCCATACGTTATTTTGAGGCTACTTACGAAATTAGTATTGGGGGAAAAGAAAACTCAAGGGGGAAAAGTAAAGCTAAACTAACGTTTTAAACTAGTCAAGATTGTTTTATATATCTTACAGACAGAAATATATATTTTTATTATATTTGTACATATTTTATGTCACTTTTTGTTGTGTAATACATTTTTATTCATATTTAAAAACATAGTATAAAGGATTTCTTGGTTTATTTAAAATTGTCCGCATGAACATATCCATTTCCCGTTTTAAATAGAAAGCACTGCAAATTAACTTCTACCAATAAGATATAATTATCTCAAATAAGCTATTTTAATTGCCAAGAATTTGAATTTGTGGCCCCTAACTTCCATTGCCATTGTTGTGCCTTCTCCATTTCCATTTCCTGTTGAAAACAAATTACTCTGGCCAAAAGTATGCTGCACAAAATTGTTTTCATCTTTTCCAACCATCGCACAAACAATCGCTAACTCGCTGTGAAAAGTTGAGATGTATTTTCATGGGCTGCCAAAAATACATTTCGTTTTTCCTATTATTGGCAATGTTATCAATGCACACACGTGTCGGCCGCTGATTGATTTCACCGCGAAACGAATGGAAAATATAAAAACGAAAAGTAAATGACAAAACAAAATGGGAAATGCAGACGACGATGAGGGACAGAAAATTTAAATAGGCACTCGAGCATTAAATTAAGCAACAACAACTAGGAAGACACTGTAACGCCCACGACAAAAAATAAAGAAAAAACAAAGAATAGAGGAAAAGGAAACTGCTCCGAGGTGCAAAACGGCTGAAATGAAGGAAATGAAATGCCAAAAAGACAAAGTTTCCTCTCCAGCAGCACATACGCGAAATTTTCCGAGTGTGTTGGTACATTGAGAAAAAAGGGGGAGCGGTTTAGATAGGGTTTATTTCTTAAAGTGAATAAATACATTTATAAACACATACAGTCAAGTATGATTTAATTACTTCAATGAAACAATTGAATAAAAATATAATCAAAGCAGAACTTTGACAATTATTTTACATTTCTTTATTAAAATTTATTTTCATTTACATATTTTCATTTATTTTCATATTATTATCGTATTAAAAACATTTTATATCAGTGTCAGAGTGTGCAATGACATTGAAAAGACACGTAGACCAAAAGAGCGAGAAGGAGAGAGAAGGCAAGTGAAGCAGGAAAAATATGGAAAATATACGTAATGTGAGCCAAAAAGTTAGCTATGCACAAAAACTTTTTTGATGGCGCGCTGAAAGTGAAAAGTAAATTTACGCTAAAGTCGCCGAAATGCACAGTAAAGAGAAAATAAAAATTGAGAGTTGAGTGGGTTTCCCGAGCAAAGCAGCAGAAGGAAAAGCGGTGTGTGCTGGCGGAACTTGCAAAAGAATATGAAATGGCAAGAAAAAGCGAAATGAAACGGAAGTTCAAGTTGATTTGTTTGCAGGCAAAGTGGAACTCGGGTGCCCCTCGTGCCTTTTTTTTATTCCCACCCCATCGTTTTGCCTCCTTTCGCTTTTCTCGCCCCCCCTCCCCGACATCCCATTCCACACATTGACAGCCATTTTGCGGAAACGGAAGTTGCGTTTCAATCGCACTTCTGATGAAGTTACCAACAAAAACGCAAACAGCAAGGACAGATGGCTGCGAGGGCAAATAAATTTAGCATAACAATGCTGGGCAAATTTATGAATGAGTGTGCGCGTTTCTGTGTATAGGAGCAACGCTGCGTATGCGTATTATGATGATGATTTTGATTCGCAAATAATGCGCATAAATTTTTGACAATTTTAAATCCTATTTTGAGGCGACTTATTTGGGTTTTCTTTTTTATAAGGCTAGTTTTTTTGTTTATGAAATGACCAAATGTTTATTTGAAGTTAAATAAAATTATTGACAGTTGACATATACATAAGTAGTTATTAATAGATATATTTACATAAATTATTTCTATCGTAAGATATTGAAAAGTTGTGTTTTAGAATCGCAATTAATAAATGTAATAAATTATTTCCTAGGCCGCTGTATTTATTCAATCAAATAGTTAAGTTTAAATAAAAAACAGACTGTCGAATTCTGATAAATCCTTTAAATACGTTCTCAGTCTTAAAGGACCTTCGAGCGAGATATTTGTCATCCTTTGCTGCCGTTTGTTAAATATCTTGTGTCTCCATGATTCATGTATGTGACGTCTGCGGTCCTTAATGTCGCAGGATCGTAATTAAAAAATGCACTGCGGCGCCGTGGGCATTTTACTGTTGTTATTTTTGGATGGTTTCACTGATATATCTTTTTCGCTCACCCCGCTGCAGTCCTCTCCTTCGCTGTCTCTCTCTCTCTTGCGCTGCCGCGGCACATGCAGAGATTGCGCTTGAAATGACAGTTGCACTTGTACCATGACAATGCGCCCGAAATGGAATGAAGGGGTATGTATGCCTGGCCTAGGGGTGTGGGAAAATCAGTGGGGGGCTTGGTAGCCATAGAGGTGGGGCTATGCAGCGGGGCAAATTGATTGCGATTGTTGAGTTGATTGGCAGGCGACACACACACACACACACACACGCGAGGACATTCATACATAGATTGACTGCATGCGACACTGGCGAACAAAAGCGCCGTTTTGTGGTTTTCATTGTTGTTGCCTGTTTTTTTTTTTCACTTTTTCCTTTCCGTTCCCTTCGTTCTCCTTGTTAAAGCTTTGTTTTTTTTATTTTTGCTTGTCGTTTAAATTAAAGTTCGTTTTTTCTTTTGATTTACAGCTTTGACTTCCTCCTTTTGGCATTTTTCAACACACGCAATTTACAAGATGACAGATAGTTTTCGGCACAGCTTAGAACTTTACTGTGTGCGTGTGTATGTCAGTGTATACGAAATTGTCCTTGCCTTGTTTGACTATACTATATGTTGCAGTTGGCAAACATTTATTGTGATTGCAGGGTTTTTTTTGACGATTATAAATTGCTGACATATGTATGAAGGAATCAGAATTATGTGTATTGTTTTTATTGTTTAATTGTGTTTATTATTTAAGTCAGATTTTTAAATTAGGGCTTGTGTTAATTATTAAAAGTTTTGGGTAAGGATTTCAGAATTGGGGGATAATCCTTTCAAATAGTTAAATAATGGGAACAGCAGAAAATATTGTTATACAGATATTGTATAAATATTACATGCAGATCCATTTATACATATGTATTTATATATGTTTTATCTTTACGATATATAATATATAAGTTATATTATAATATAAGTTAAATGTTCCAAAAACTTATAAAGATGTTTAAAATATAATCGATATAAAAGGAAACATTTATTAGGTAATTCAATAATTTTTAGATACAACGATTTTATTAAAATCAATTTTTCAACGGAAAATTTGATATTGGGATTTTGTGTAAATTAATATTAAAAATATTTAGATAGCAAACAAAATTGCCCTTTAAAGAGGTGAGATAAAAGTAATGACAGTAGCTTCAAATACAAAAAAAAACTTTGACATAAACATATTTTTAAGCATATTTTAGGCGGTTTTGTATTGGTTATGGTTGTTTTCTGGGTGTATTTTTGGTTGATAACGTATTTCATCACGTTAAAGCTACTTTTGTCTAATTTTTAATTTATGTATGTATCCATAAAGATAATATCTTATATCCAAATTAACTATTTCTAATTAGCTAAAATCGTGAAAATTATGTATTATTAAAATGCTTAAACTTTAAGCTGAAGGATGCCCATCCCCATGCATACACTTATTGGCTTGTTTATTATTCATAAATTAAAGCAATTTTAGTTTTGCTAAATTCAAATGTTAGTTTAAAACTCCGGGGCTAGCTCTGGGCCAAACACTTGCAGTGTTGTTTATAATTTTAAGAAATTCACTCCTGTGCATTTAATTTAAGTTTAAATTCAAGGCAGTGAATTTTCACTTTGGTCGAAACACACAAAAAAGCCATCAAATTAGTGTGCCGGCTTTATGCCAAAAATGTAAGGCCGTCTCCCCGGCTATTTGGCTCGTTCTTCGCCTTTGTTCAAGCCCAGTAGCTATTGGGTGGACATCAACGGAACAGAGTTGTTGTTTTTTGGCTGGCTGCGCTCTTTGAAATATTAAAATTAATAATAAATGTTGACGGCATTCATTTGTTGTTGCTGCTACACAAATATGAAGTCTTCATTATGGCCAACGCATTTTGTGTTGTCTATTTTTTGGCGTTACCTCTCTTTGGCCCTGTCCCTCTCTCCCTTTGACATACTATGATGGGGGAAAAATTAACACTAGAAGTAAATATTAAGTCATTTTGTTTATAAACATGTACTTTGTATTATATGTTTAATATGTAATTGAAATATGTAATCGCTGATTTCGTAAATATATTTTTTCTTTTATTCTGAGACTTTAAAAACATACATTTCAATTTTATTTCTGGTTAATATTTAGTACTTTCGCTTTGCCCACGACTGTGTGGCAGCTAGCTTTCCGCTTACTCTCTTGGAAAAGCTACTGCTTCTCTGTTTTCATCTGGTTGTGATTTTTATTTCTTTTGGCAATTTGTGCAGTTGTTGTTTGTTTTTTCCCCGCTTTTGCCGTTTTAACTCGCATTTGCTTCGTTTTTCTGCTAAATTAAATTTTATTTAACTGTTATGCATGAAATTGGTTACAGTTTTTATTTTCATGCTGCTTTTGTCTGCGCTCGCACACACACAAAATGGCCGCTAATTTCTTTTTAAATTATTTAACAATTTTCGACTTCCATTTTCCAGACGTTGTTGCTGTTGTTGTTGTTGTCGTTGCCCGAACAATCTAATTAGACGGCGGCAGAGGAATAACAAGAAGAACGATAATAACAATGACGACGCCGATTTGTTTTATGCCAATTTACTTGGCAACATTTGTCGTTAATGCGACTGCCAAGAAATTTGGCACTGACTCAAGCCGGGGAATTGCGAAAGGCGGAAGTCCTCTCTAATAGTATCTGGCATAATTGGCCGAAAATACATAAATTGAGGTGAATAGATGTTTGCGAGAAATGTAAGATTTGTTTTTCACAGAAAAAGGTAAAGTAATTTATTTATTACTTGCG